GGTCGGGCCGCAGGCCCGAGCGTCGCCGTCGGCAGGCCAAGCAGGCCCGGCCCCTGCCGAACGGAGTTGCCGGCGAAGCGAAGCTGAGCTGGCTCCTCCGTTTGGCGGAAGGGCGGGCCTGCTTGTTTTACCCTGGGTAGGTGTGTACTGGGATCCATAAGCTAACGTCAATAACTTAGATGCGATTTGACATAACTTGTATGTATTCTACAAACGGCCAAAGATGTTCAGCGTATGAAAAGAATGCTTCGTTTGTTGAGTTTTGATTACGTAGACAGCAAAGGTACCTGGCAAAAAGATGGTTCAAAGCGAGCCGTCACTCAAACGAGCCGAAGGCCCGTTTTCCAATAGAAGATTTATTACACCGTGAACATTCAGAAGTGACGGGCCGAAGGCCAATCTCAAACGCCACCGGCAGGCCAAGCTAGGCCCGCTCCCTGCCGAACCGAGTTGTCGGTGAAGCGAAGCGGAGCTGGCAACTTGGTTTGGCGGAAGAGTGGGCCTAGCTTGTTTTCTATCCCTTCAGAGCTCTATTGTATACGCCAGACCTCTAAAAATACAGGGAAATGCACCGGGAAAGTATGCAATTACTAGAATCTTGAAAGTGCCACCTAGCCATGGGCACTACTTCTCAGAAGTGATGTACAGAAGGAATCTCACGCTGGAACGCCATTACACACGAAAATTAGACGAGAAATAAAGTTCATGTCTCATCCTGCTCTGCTTATAGGGCTCTTATTTTTTCTCGTCCTCGTTTTACTTACGGCGAAAGAGGGTATATTTTTTCCTACAACTAGTAATGGACTAACTGTAAGAAAAGACGTCCAAAATACTGCCGAGTACGCTGTGGCAAACATTGACACATTCATCGTCCAAACTATGTGAATTCTGGTGCGCTAACGTAACGCTTGAAAAAATAACGTTCGTGGCGAGCATCTGATATCAGTATGGTGACACAACATAAACGCGACACAAAATGTCGCACCTACCAAACTAGACTAAAACGACGGTTCTGCGATGACGTCAGCCTCTCTTTGAAATTTGTGGCACAGACACTGTAAATCAGAATTTGATACCAACTACACGTTTTCTGAGATACAGAAATATTGCACGATGTTGTGATAATAATCGCAGGAAAAGTACAACATTAAATTCATTGCTAATATTTGTGATGACCATCACTCATTTGAGCGATACTTTTAGGTACAAGGTAGATGTACGCTAGACCACGTCTCGCGTAACAGGCTTCGCGATATCTCACGAAACACTGTTACGCTGCGACGAGCCTGGCATACATTTACCTTGGCCTGCGGCGGTGACACCTGAGTCGGGTAGTTGGGAAATGTTCACAAAGATACGGGCCTCTGGCCCGTCAACGGCCCGTCACCTCGACTGAGCATACAGGGTTGTACAGTTTTCGCTTATTTTCGTCAAAAATACCCTCTAGCGCCTCAACGGTTTAAGCAAGAGCAAAACGGACAAAATTTTCGCCCAAAGGGCTCTACTTGGATGAGTTACCCCTATAGGAAACCATAAAAAAATATTTTTAAAAAACGTCATTTTTGGGACTAGTTGTTTTTGATTTTTTTTTAAATCCAATTTTTGAGGTAGAGTGCTCATCTTCGAACTAGATCTGTCTTTTTGTGACTCAAAACGACCCTGAAAATCCAAGGTCGCTCGCTCGATTCGTTTTATAAGAACTATATGTTTGGAGTTCATATCCCGCTTGGAACGATCTGTTCTCAGTACTATGGCTGAAATAGATTTGGTACATTTTCAGTAAGACTCGATTTTCGATTCGTCGATTCTGGAATCAAAACCAAAGAATCGATTCTTTCAAAAATCGATTTTCTCCCCTTAAGAATCGATTTTCGATGTTTTTGTCTATGCGTAGAAAGGCAATAGTTTGAGAGTGAAAGTGATAAGCAATGAAATGATGCAAAATCGTTTATTATGAAGAATATTAATGTGGCTCCTTGCCCTGATTAAAAGTAAGAATTATTGCATTAAAGAGTGAATATAGAATACGAACATTCTTCAAACAGCGCCACATGCATGTGAATGTGTCCGGCGGGAAGGTCCTCCGACCCCGATCTGACTCTAGCACACTAATTTCAAACGGTGGACGTGGACGAGTTCCTCTTTCCAGTACGTATAGCTAAAATGTCAAATTTTTGGTTGGTTCCCGGCGTATACAAGTGACCCCCGCCTGAGGCCCGACCATTTCTGCCACGCGATTTGCTGTAGAACATAATCAAATGATGTAACGGGCCTTCGGCCCGCAAAGCCCGTCGTCCTTGAAATTTGCCCCGTAGAAACAAGAAAGGGATGTAACGGTGAAACACCGCGACTACAACCCACCCTTCTGCTAAGGAAACGTTTTTTGGGGTGGGGGGAGAGAGTTTCTTACCTCTTTTGCGGTTTTGGGCCTTCTTTTACATTTAATTGTTAAGTACAGCAATTTTTAACTTATTTTCGTCCAAAAAACAAGACCCTCTAGCGCCTAAACGGTTTGAGATAGAGCCAAACAGACGAAATTTTCGCCCGAAGGGCCCTACTTTGACAAGTTATCCCTTAGGAGACCATCCAATATTTTCGGAAATTAATAAATTTATTTTTGGGCCACTTTTGTGAGAGAAACTCCCTGTAGCGCCCAAATGGTACAAGATAGAGCAAAACGGACAAAATTTTAGCCCATAGGACTCTACTTTCACGAGTTACCCCTTAAGAGATCATAAAAAATATTTTGATTTCTGACTTTTTTGACCTACCTTATTTTCTTTGATACCCCCTTTTAGCCCTTTAGGGGTGGTTGCCAGGATTTGCCGTAGGCGTTTCGTTCTCTAGGAGTGGACCTTAAGATACCCTGAAAATTTCAAGTCTCTAGCACATGTCCTTCTAGTGGAACAGACAGGCAGACACACAGACACACACACACACAGACAGACACACAGACAGACACGAGGTCGTTTGCATAAGCCCGCTGAATAGCTTTTTCAAAGCAGAAGGGCGGGCTAAAAACAGAGAGACAAAAAGACAAAGGCAGAAGCAGACAGGAAAGCATTAGAAGCAAAGAAGGCTCACATTTTGAAAGAGGCAGAGAGGCAAGCTTTGCTTATTGATGAGGAAATCTCTATGGGTGGTGACTCACGGGCCTAGATTATAGTTTAGTCTGATCTGGTATCTATGTTCCTATCACTCAAGAATGTTTAATTTGTTTTACTTGATAATTTACATGCACAATGTAGTGATATGTACCTGTACATATATCGTGATATTTATCGTGCCATTATTGTTCCTGTTTCTAGTTCCTGTATTTTACTTTGATGATGACTATGACTGAATTCTACGTTCAAATAAAATGTTGTTGTATTTCAATTTTTTTTATTCCATATTATCACTCGAAACACCTTATTTTAAGCGTCTCGGCATTTTTGCACTATTGGTATACTTAACGAAAAATTGGCACGAAAAGTCATTTTTGGGACCGGGAAAAACCGGGAATTAGCCGGGAATTCCAAAGGGCACCGGGAAGTGGACGTGGACACCCTGGATATGGGCAGTATCTCTTAGTATGACCGGTCGCCCAGCATATCTCGCACCTGGAAGTATCACAAATTTAATAAAACATTGCATCAAAACGTCTATAGAGTGGCCGTGGAATTTGTATCAAAATACCTGATTTGCTGCAGGACATGGCACCGTGTCAGTAACCTCCCTTGCAGGATAACATAAGTGGTGTGGGCTTCCAACCATGGACCACATCCACGCCCACTTAAACGCGACAAGTTCCAAGTTCCCCCTAAGTTCCAAGCGCCATACTCCCGTAAGGCCTCTCCATTAGTGAAGTATGCCGAGAGGAGTGAAGAGACCCTCCTGCAATGAGTAGAAAGCGCAATGACTCCACGTAAGGTGGGGAACCAAGAAAACTGAAGGCAAAACTATGCACCATAACAGTTGTGCAAATTGTGGAAGATGATGGGCAGGACGATACGTCCTGGGGCTTAAGTGCGTCCAATAAGCAGTGCCCTATGGCGAACCTGCCTTCGTTTATGTGGTCCCTTTTGTGAGTCTTGAGAGATTTTGTTGTTGGAAAACCTGTCACATGTTGGGCACTGCAGGCGGGCCTCTTCACCTTCTTCATCATAGTTGTCTGACCCATCCCGATCAAGGTCATGCGCAATCCTCACCATATCTGCTCCAAGAATGAAGTACCACGCCCAGGAGGGGTGACGTATTCGACCCAGCAGAAGTTGTTTTGAGTGTCAGTATCACCAAAAGTAAATTGCAGGAGTCGGCCAATTTTCACATCGGTGGAGGTGGCTGCAGAGGGGGGGGGGGATAGGGAAAGTGGGACGAGGACGAGATTTCCCTCCATACTGGGCGTTTCTCGTGCAAAAGTCGTCGTTTTTCCAACTTTGAGGGAAGGTTGCCACCTGAAGAGCGTGTCGCACGGGGAAAACGAAGTCATTCTCGGAACCTACATCAAGAAAGGAAAAAAATTGGAGGGGTGACTATTTTAAAACCGAAAAACGTGCCCAGACGACACACACTATCCAGGAGGCGGACCGCGAGGCGAGGCGATGCAGCGGCTGCTATCCGCCCCGGGCAATTACGTCATGTGCGCGACCTGCAGCAGCTACATCATGAAGAAGTAGGTGCCGCCCAGCGCCATGGTGAAAGGCTTCCGCTACCCGCCCCCGCCAGCCGGGCTGGAGCCGCTCACCGAGATGGAGGAACACGTACTGCTGGCGCTACGCCTCCCCTTCCAGCAGATCGTCCACCTGGGCACCATGGGCCGGCGCGGCCCAGTACGGCCTGCGCGGCTCTGTGATCAACGTCCCCACCGAGCCGGACGAGACCGTGCGCAATGTCATCCCGCTGCTGTCCGAGGAGGACCATCTGTGCGTCGTCAACATCAAGCGGAAGCTGACGCACAAGCGGGCCTTCGGCCGCAGCTTCGTTACCAAGGATAAGCTGAAGTGGGGGCGCTTCCTGGAGCAGTCCACGCTGTGCCGCGAGTACGGTGCCAGGTTCGACGAGACGCGCCTGGACGTGCTGCTTGGTGACCAGGGCGAAGAGGAGCGGTGTAACGAGGACGGCGAGGTGTTCTACGGGCAGCCCGACGAGCCAGACGGTTACCAGAGCATGCAGGCGCGACTCGTCACCATCCAGAACACCGTACTCATGGAGGACGTCGTGGTGCCCGCCCAGCCAGCCGCCAACAGAGCAAACGCCGAGACGGACGACGTGGCCCCGGGCGAGAACAAGATCCCCGAGAGCGTGGTGCGAGACAGGAAGGCGGAGGAGCTGATATTTACGTTCAGCGTTGTTGTTCTGTTGCTTTTGCTCATTCAAGTCGGTAAATTGGTAAATTACGATGTATTTTTTTTGTTTGGTGGAGGATTATTTGTAACATTTGGAATATAACAGAACTTACAATTTCTCACATTCTATATGTTTACTGGAGGCTCAGGAGAAGAGGCGCCTGCAAATTTATAGGCTTATCATGACTCGGCGACACATTAGAGACGTTAGTAATGCCTTCGAAGTGACTGGAGAAACATTTACAGCAAGCTATACGCTGACAAGGGACCTGGTTTTCTCAGTCATTGAACATTGAACTGATCCGCATTTATGTCAGGCGGACAGTCAGTGCACTTGCTGTGCCCCTCGAGCTCAAGGTAACATTTCATTCCCAGCGAGTAAGAGTCCTAGAAAAAAATTATGAAAACTGGTTATACATATTGTATTTGCTTGTCATTGTTTACTTGAGTTGCTGCAAGTTAATGCTTTACTGAGCTTTTTTAAACCTGCCCTTCTACTTTGAAAAAGCTATCCTGCGGGCTTATGCAAACGACCTCGTGTCTGTCTGTGTGTCTGTCTGTTCCAGTAGGAGGTGTGCTAGAGACTTAAAATTTTCAGAGTATCTTAAGGTTCACTACTAGTAAACGAAACGCCAACGGCAAATCCTGGCAATCACTCCTAAAGG